TGCCTTCAGGTCATGATCCTGCTCAGTGAAAGTTCTGGCTGAATCTGAGGTTCCAGCTGAATTTAGAAATGATCAAAGTGGGAAAAGTATGTGTTGTCATGGTAATTTTTCCCTTTCTTTTAAGTAATACTGGAACTAAAGAATTGATTCATATTTTGAGAGAGGAATCTATAAGCTTCTAAACAGTTTAGGTAAATCACCAAATCCAAGAACATGTAAGTGTTTGATGAACAAATGAATACATGGGTTACAAACAATGCGATTTTGGTCTTTTAAGGTAATACACACACACACACACACACACACATATGCATATACATACATTATCTACATATACATGTATATATATATATGTGTACACATATATTACTAAAAAGACCAAAACTAGGATTTTTGTAAAAAGAATATAAATTTATACACACCTATATGTACATAACTTTGCTATACACCTGAAGCTAATACAACACTGTAAGTACAGTATATTTTAATAAGATTTTTTAATGGTTAAATGGATAAAATGATAAATTTTATATGTTCCCAATATTTTATTACAACAAAGACCTTAAAAAACAAACCCACCAAAAAATAATATGAGTAATTTGCATTTTGGTTCTTAAAACGTCTCATCTCTAAAGCATGAAAAGCTCTATAATATGCTTGGTTTTTATTCATTCATGTTATTCAGGCCCAAGCTTTTCCAGATCAAAATTCTTACTGCTTTATCACCATCTTTGGTTCCATTTTATAACAATTTAATGAGTGAGAGATTCTTTAAAGAAAAATTTCCATGTAACAAGATATAATGCTTTTCCTCTGTATTACAACAAATATTCCTTTGGATAGATTTTCTTTCCTTCTGATAGAGGCTAATTGAGGTTCTATATAGTTTTCAAGTTTAACTCCCCTGTGCCGCTATTCTTTTTTCTAGCCTCCACACCATTCTGGCCTCTGCCAGCACTATTCACATACATTTGTATCAATGGTTCTCAACCCTAGACACACATCAGTCTCACCCAGGAAGCTTTTAAAACTTAACAATGCCTGGGCTCCATTCCCAGGACTGACTTAAATATTTTAAAGCTCCAAAGGTGATTCTAATTTGCAGCCAAGGTTGAGCACCACTGCTGTATATAATATTGACCTCACTTCATTATGATTATTTGTGAAACTTTATCTCCCACTGAAGTTTTTGGCACTTTAAATCAGACTCGTGTGAATTCCAATGCCTGTTGAGTTTGATCTATGGAATCTACTCTGTGGAACACTCCAGAAGATCTAAAATTCAAAAAGACGTCATGTCTTAGTTAAGGAAATAACAAACTATTATAAAAGTACTGGACTAAAACAAACCTAGCATACCATAACTGTGACCTAGGAAACTATATGGGAAGTAAAAATAAAACACTGGGATGAAGAGTCAGATCAACTTGAGAAATCAGGAAGACATGATGGAGAAAGTAGAATCTTACGATGGATTATGTGTAGAATTTCAAATAGGATTATGTATATGATTTTTACAGAGAGAAATGAAAAATAGCGGGGAGATAAAAACAGTACTTTTTTGTAAACAGCAACAGAGTAAGAAAAGGGGAAGAGATGGAAAAGTGAAATCCATTAGTAAAATAGTTTCTGTACCATAAAGAAACAACTTCAAGAGAGGAGGAAATGAATGTAGAAAGTCAGTGGGGTGAAATCATCGAGGTTTTGAATGCTCAATGAATGAGCATGGATTCCTTGATGGTTTCTGAACAGGGACTAATGTACTGAGACATTTGTGCTTTAAAAAAAATCAATCTTCCTAATTAATTATCTTGTAGTCTTGAAAATACTTTTTATGTGATCTGAATTACATTATATGAATACTATAAGCAATGCTTTCTTATGCTAAAATGCTTTTCATTATGTGGTCAATGTATTCATCAAAAAATAGATCACGAAGGAACAGACACATAAATTACATCTGTTCCTAGATGATAGTATTTCATTGGCTTAGCTGAGAAGAAAATAAATGAAGGGGAAGTCGTTTAACAATAGCTGTGGTGGGTCTCCTAAAAATATCTAAAAGATGCAGCTATCTCTTTTTGGGCAGGGGAAGGGTTATCAAAAGAAAGAAAAGGTGAAGAAAATTTCTTTCACTTAATGCTATTTCCTGTCCTGCCAAATGTAAATAAGGTCTTATATCATATAGTCATATGTATTTCTATATTACTGTTTGTGGCTGAAAAATGCAATATTTGTTGCTGAAAAGGTCTGCAGAAAATTATTTGATTAATGTGATATCACTTTAAGCTTGACATGTTTGCTCAGGTTATTGCTCAACTTGATGAAGAGGCTGATACTATACTCATCGGGGTATTGCCTCAACAAGCTGTATTTGTCCCATACCACTACCCTATAGAGAGTATTTTTAAGATCTAGGCTAAGCTATTGTTTTAATTTTAAAAATGGCATTTCATCAATAAAGTCATCAATAAAGCAATGGGATAAATAGCACATATGAAAAACCTAAAGCAAATCAACATTTACAAGCATTGGACTCACTTTTTTATTTTAGATTTGATCTTAGAGCTCTGTGTGTTTGTGTATGTGTGTTTGTGAATGTGTGTGTGTGTTTATATATACATAAACATCCCAATGAGAAGTGAAGAACACTGGAGAATTCAGATACTCATGCAGATATTTAAAGCTCAAAATATCAATGTTTAAATATACAACTTAACATTTGTCTTTGCCCATAGCATATAGTGATATTTTATATGGATAGATTCCATGTTTCACATACATGTACTTTATGTGCTCAAGTAAATTCTATGTACCCTGTGGGCATTTTCAATCTTTTAATTGTATTATGCACTTTAAAATTTGATTGCAAAAAATAGTAAATTCTCAAGATAGAGGCTTCTAGTTCTAGACAAGATGGAATAAACACAATCTATTTTACTTTTCCCTCTAACCACCAAAAACAAAACAAAACAAACTACTCTGTACAAAATATATAACTCATTTATCAGAAGACACCAAGAGGTGGAGAGAAGAAAAGAGATTGGCTAGGAGCCTCGGACTTAAGGAATGACATCATCATTATTTCCACATTTGCTTGTTTTTTTGTCCCTCTTTGCCTCCTAAACATTTCACTTTGGATAGAAGGGAAGCCCTCAGTGAAGCAAAAGGTCAAATAAACAGCACCCAAGAAAAGTCAAAGGACTAATAAAAGGGTAGCCCAACAGAACAGTAAGTTTTTAACCATAAATGCCTGAGGGTGAATATCACAAACATAATAGTACCCCTCCACTCAAAGGATGGTGCAGCAAGGGGATAGTGAGAAATATCCCTGCCCAGTAAAGCCCTCAGGCACAAACTTGTATTCCACTCTTCTTCTCATTTCAGTAAACAGATGGCATCCCCTTCCCCATGGGGTCTGTCACTGAACTGACATTCAACCTCCATGAATTAAATGAGAGGTGACCCTCCCCTCAGAGCCCCTAGTTGGAACTCTGATGTCCACTCCCTGTTCCAACAGTAATGCAACAGAACCACTTTCTGCAGCAGAAAGGTTTGGGGGAAGAGTGTGACTATTAGGGGATAACACTAGGGAGTTTCTATGTGATAATGGGATGGTTATTTACGATGACTATGGTGATGGTTAGTCCAATTTACATCTGTGATACAACCTCACAGAACTATATTCCCTACCCACTGAAAAATTAAAACCAAAATAAAAAACTGGAAAAATCTTAATAAGAACACTAGCTAATTTAAAAGTATTATACCAGTAGAAAGATAATTTCTTTAAAACAAGAAAAACATATATATTAATATGTACACACACAAACACACACACACACATATATACACATTGCTAGCTTGTACATTTATATAACAGTACATCAGTTATACAACTCCAACTTATTTTAAATGCTTTCTTCCTGAACATCTGGACAGTGAATAACAAATATGTTATGTGATAAAGCTTTTTAAAAATGGTTTTAGTTTTGCCACTCAGATTATTTCATACTATTACTAAACCAACTATGACTAAAGAATAACTATTTCCCCCTAACTTTCAAAATTGGAGTTTTTTTTTTTTGGCTGCCTGTGCACCTTGTGGGATCTTTGTTTCGTGGCCAAGGACTGAACATGTGACCCCGCCATGGTGGAAGTTCAGAATCCTAACCACTGGACAACCAGAAATTCCCCAAATATGAGCTCTTAATTCAAGAAGAGTAACTACTTGAAAGGGAAAAGAAAGTTACTCTTCACACTTGGATAACACTCTTTAAAATTTACATGAGTATGGTCATAACCAGAGGATATAACAGGGTAAACTTGGTTGGTACATGTGGGGATAAACTACAGCTAATGCAATATTTTAAAGTAGCTAAGAACAAAACACAAGGTTGAGAAAATAAATTAAAATTATAAACAACACTGACAATACTTCGGTTTTTGTGTCTCCTTTTCTGTACGGAATAGGAAGTTTTCTCTTTTAACTTCATCACTTAACTAAGAGAGTTCTGTATGGATGGCTTTTTTTTAATGGAATAATTAAATAATAGGGCAGTTAAGTGCCTTGCCTCAGGCCACAGTGGAAATCACTAGTAGGATCAGAGTCATAAATTAGGACTCATGCTCTCCATTAAGTATCTTTGTCTTCACAGAAAATTAGACTATGCTTTCAGCTAAATATCTGTCTGAACATCACTCCATTGAGTTACAATCATTGATACTAGAATACTATTTATTACTAGGATGGCTTCCAGAAAACTTTTCTGCTAGCACAGAAAATATGCTTAGCCATCACAGCCATTTCATTTATTTTAACTTCTGTTCAAGTTTTTTGTTTTTGAAATTCAACAACTCTAAGTTCCTGAATGGCATGGTTGGAGATGTCAAGAACTGTTCATTGTGATGGATCAAGCTTATTTACCCTAACTTGGTATACAAAAAACCTTCCCCAAAGGGAAGATAATCATGAATGCATTCTGTTGTCTATCACTTACTTTCTTCTTTCCGCTTCGAATCTATGTAGGAGTTTCCGAAGACCACCATTCTTAAATCCCTGAAAATGGGCAGCTGGGGCTCCCACGGTGATGACGTCGTAGAGAGCATCTGTAACAAGAATGGACACGGAGATGAACACCTTGCAAACACTTATCTCCAGCATGCTGTTTGCATTGAAGCATTCACACTGTGGGAAGTGTGAGGAATTATTCTGTTTAATTTTGCAGGAATAACAATGAACTCACATCTCAAGGGGGCAAGACGAGCTAATCAATCTTTCTAAAAGCCACCTGTGTACCTAAACAAGTTATAATATTTGCTTGATTTATGACTACATCTTAATTATATACTACTGGTAGAACAGCATGTTCTCTCATTCTTCTATATACTTACTGAGATAACACATTAATTGGTCTTTTGTGTATTTTACTTCATTGTGTTTTGCATCATTTAATTTGCAATCATATTGAAATTCAACAATAATGAACAATCTTTCAACCAAAAGTTGCAGAGAAAAGAGCCAAAATATTACAGTACTTTGACTCAAGGACAAAACAGTACTAGTGCCTTTAAAAAAATCTATACACCACAGTTTTTTGCCTGCGTATACTACATCACACAATTTTGAATGCATTGCAATTGAATTTTGCAATTTCCTTAGGTGGCATAGAAAGAATACACAAGATGTCTTGATCTGTTTTCCAGTGAGATACTTTGTTTTTTCTAATAATAAAAAACCCATACATTTAAATTGAAACTCAATCCTTTGATCTTGAAAGCCATAAAGTTTGATACATATTAAGTTTACCACTTCAAAACATGCCATCATTTTACATTCTAATGAAAAGTATCCCTATAAGAAGAAAGACAAAGTGAAAGCCCTCTTGTTAAACCACACTTTATTTGAGAAATCTAATTTAATAGTAGATCCTTTTCAAATTGACTTTGATATTGACACCTTGGTTGTTTTTCCAATCTCATTTACAGGGAAAACATAGATTATTTTATTAGCTTCAGGTAAATACCATCACTTTTTCATAGTGGTTCAAGCCAAATACACCTGAAACAGTAAATTTTTTAAATAAAATAGGTCCTCAAGTGAAAAGACTTCAGCTGCATTCAGAAAACTCAAGGTCACAAAAAAACCCCAGAAGTACAACCCAAACTAAATAGCCACTAAGGCAGATACTGAACAGTCACTTTCTTCTTTTAAAAAGTCACTAATCAACTGAAAGTCCTGCCAAGTCACTTCGGTTGTGTCCAACTCTGTGAGTCTCTATGTACTGCAGCCCACCAAGCTCCTCTGTCCATGGGATGCTCCAGGCAAGAATACTGGAGTGGGTTGCTGTGCCCTCCTCCAGGGATCAAACCCACATCTCTTATATCTCCTGCATTGGCAGGTGAGTTCTTCACCACTAGCACCACACCTGGAAAGCCATCTTTTCTTAAACTAGCAACATATTAGATTTGTGTGAAATTTAAGATTTCTTAGTCCAGAGGATTTTAACCTAAGACCTAAGAAAAGGATTCTAAGGTGTCCAAGAACAGACGTTGATTGTCTTAGTGACTCCGTTCTCCTTCATGGAAGGGGGGATCACAGCTTTCTTAAGTGATCATGTGATCACTCAAAACTGCCAACACTAAATTCTAGTCCACTTTCACTTATCTGATGAGAAACCTGAGGACCCTGACTAGTTGTCTGCTTCATCTAAAGTCTTAAAGACCTTATACCCAGGGATTTCTGACTTCTAACCCAGGAATGGAGAGTGAGGAGTTTGTTCCCAATGGGACTCTAAGTCCGTGGCTCCATATAACAGCTCTGCTAGGTATAAGTTGTGCAACACTGGGAAAAGTATACAATCTCTCTATGACATGGTTCTTCTGCTAGAAGATGGAGTGGGAAGTAGTTACAAGAAGTTAGCATTCAGTAAGTACTGGCTATGATTATTTTCCCTATCAATTAAGCATAGAAGGCTGATAGTTCAACTTTTGCTATTTCTCTAAAAAAAGTAAAAATTTTAGTCTGAAAAGGAAAGTGATAGTGAGGCTCAGTCTTCTAAATAAAATAGTTTGTGCATCAATTTAAACTACCTGTGGGTCGGGGGTGGGGGGCGGGGGCATGATGCTGCAATGAATTACACTACATTTCTGCTAAAACCTGGGTGATCAGCAATAGCAACAATATACCAAAGTGACTAAAAACATGTGGATAATTCCACATGTCTGGTCAAGCACAAATTAAACATATTCCAAACTCAATTTTCCAAAAGAGACATCTATGATTTTTATTAGATCCAAGAAAACTTGTGGCCTTTCCAACACCACCCAACAAGAAGAGGAACGATGAGGGAAGTCAATATCTGAGGGAAGAGAGCAGTTTTTGTTTTGTTTTGTGTTTTTTAAGAGAGAAGCTTTAATTGATATAGATTAACCTGTGGAATGGTCATGTATGGATGTGAAAGTTGGACTGTGAAGAAAGCTGAGCACTGAAAAATTGATGCTTTTGAACTGTGGTGTTGGAGAAGACTCTTGAGAGTCCCTTGGACTGCAAGGAGATCCAACCAGTCTGTCCTAAAGGAGATCAGTCCTGGGTGTTCATTGGAAGGACTGATGCTGAAGCTGAAACTCCAGTACTTTGGCCACCTCATGTGAAGAGCTGACTCATTGGAAAAGACCCTGATGCTGGGAGGGATTGGGGGCAGGAGGAGAAGGAGATGACATAGGGTGAGATGGCTGGATGGCATCACCGACTCGATGGGCATGAGTCTGAGTAAACTAAGAGAGTTGGTGATGGACAGGGAGGCCTGTTGTGCTGTGATTCATGGGGTCACAAAGAGTCAGACACGATTGAGTGACTGAACTGAATTGAACCTGTGGAAAATTCTTAAAGAGATGGGAATACCAGACCACCTTAACTGCCTCCTGCAAAACCTGTATGCCATCAAGAAGCAACAGTTAGAACCGGACATGGAACAACAGACTGGTTCCAAAGTGGTAAAGGAATACATCAAGGCTGTATATTGTCACCCAGATTATTTAATTTATATGCAGAATACATTATGTGAAATACTGTGTTGGACAAAATACAAGCTGGAATCAAGATTACAGGGAGAAATATCAGTAACCTCAGATATGCAGATGATACCATCCTTATGGCAGAAAGTGAAGAGGAACTAAAGAGCCTCTTGATGAAGGTGAAAGAGAGTGCAAAAGCTAACTTAAAACTCAACATTCAAAAAAATTAAATCATGGCATCTGGTCCCATCACTTCATGGCAAATAGATGGGGAAACAATGGAAACAGTGACAGACTTTATTTTCTTGAGTTCCAAAATCACTGCAGATTGTGACTGCAGCCATGAAATTAAAAGGCACTTGCTCCTTGGAAGAAAAGTTATGATAAGCCTAGACAGTATATTAAAAATCAGAGACATTACTTTGCTGACAAAGGTCTGTCTAATATAGTGAAAGTGAAGTCACTCAATTGTGTCCAACTCTTTGCGATCCCATGGACTGTAGCCTACCAGACTCCTCCATCCATGGGATTTTCTAAGCAAGAATACTGGAGTGGGTTACCATTTCCTTCTCTAGGAGATCTTATCCAGGGATTGAACCTGGGTCTCCCACATTGTAGGCAGACGTTTTACCATCTGAGCCACCAGGAAAGTAAAAGTAAAAGCTATGTCTAGTAAAAGCTATGGTTTTTCCAGTAGTCATGTACAGATGTGAGAGTTGGACTATAAAGAAGGCTGAGCACCAGAGAATTGATTCTTTTGAACTGTGGTGTTGGAGAAGACTCTTGAGAGTCCCATGGACTGCAAGGAGATCCAACCAGTCCATCCTAAAGGAGATCAGTCCTGAATATTCATTGGAAGGATTTATGCTGAAGCTGAAGCTCCAGTATGTCAGCTACCTGACATGAACAGCTGCCCCATTAGAAAAGACCCTGATGCTGGGAAAGATTTGAAGGCAGGAGAAGGGGACGACAGGGGACGAGGTGGTTGGATGGCATCACTGACTCAATGGACATGAGTCTGAGCAAGCTCCGTGAAGGACAGGGAAGCCTGGTCAACAGGCTGGTCAACAACAGAACTGACTTACTTTTGCAAAATTTGCAAAACTATTTGTGACCACAAACATGGCGCTAAGGCCCCTTTTAGGGTCTTATAAAGAAGCCCATGCACACGAAAAGGCTTGAACCTAAGCTTTGCTAGCTTCATGGAGAATCTGTCTCTTCAATCTATCCATAGTTTCAGGCATCCTCTGAAGCTACTTTCTAGGAACAGAAACTTTCTCTTTATTCATCCATCTCACTGAAATGTTGGGAATCCTAGTAATCTATGCAGGAACTAAGATACTTTGAAAGAGTAGACAAAGGAAGAGAACCAAGTGACTCAAACACGCTCCACTCAAAAAAGAGCCAATTATTTATCTTTAAGTCTAAATGAAGAAACTAGCATTCTTTAAAATCATCTACAATTAAGAATCTCCAAAGTTATGAGCAAGCTCTTTCATATCCAAAATTCTGAATTTTACTCTTTTCTATTCTATTTTCTATTTATGAACTCATCTCTTTTAGGGTTTTAATCCTATATTTTTACAGAAGCCTATAAAATCTCCATCTCTGGCTAGTCTGACTTCTTCCACACTAAACTATCCAGTTCCTAACCTGTCTTATGAACATCTTCGAGTGTCAACCAGCTATTAAACTTAACTTGTTCTGGCTTAAAAAAAAAAGCAAAAAAAAAAACTCTTAGAAAACATGTATTTTGCATATTTACATTTTATAAAGATGAATTATTAAAAAACATATTAGTGATAAACTGATACAGCCACTATGGAGAACAGTAGGGAGACGCCTTTAAAAACTAAAAATGGAACTACTCTGTGATCCAGCAATCCCACTACTGGGCATACACCCAGAGAAAAGCATAATTTCAAAAGACACATGTGCCCCAGTGTTTACAGCAGCGCTACCCACAACAGCTATGATAGGGAAGCATCCTCAACAGAGGCATGGATAAAGAAAATCTGGTGCATACATACAAAGTAATATTACACAGCCATAAAAGGAACAAAATTGGGTGATATAAAGTGACATGGATGGAC